CCTTGTAAAGTTTCCACTTTAGGCCTGTCCTTCTCTTCATTTTTCTCTGTCCTTACTTTCTACAGTATATGATTGGTGAGCAATACTTCTTACAAACAAGCAAATGAAATGAGAAACTTATATTTCTTTTAAAGGTTCTCTGTTATATGGCCTTCTTTTTTCAGTGACTCAAGGGTACTTGATAAGCAGTAGGTTTACTCACCTCTAAAATGGCAACAAAGAAACCAAGTGGCATAGGCTTGTTGAATAAGTTGAAGACTGAAAAGGGCTATTTGTTCTTGCTTGCAATAAAGATGTGCTTGCTGGGAACCAGTAGTTGGTGTAATGGCTATGTCGCTGGAGTCCCATGTAGTTGACTGTGGTTCGAGTCCCGGACACAGTGGCTTAAACTCACACCAGGCATGTGTGTGTGCATGCGTGCCCAAGATCCCGAGAGGAGAATGGAGGAGAAGGGATTACGGCATGGCCATCCCCCTCTGGGGGGGTGATTTTCTCGCTTTCTGTCTTTCTGTCTCTCTCTGTCTTTCTGGTGAGCACACACTCCCTACAATGAAAGCCTCTCAAAAAAAAAAAATTTGTCCCTGAAACTTTTTCTTATTATGTGGTATTGCAAACATTTTTTCTGAGATGCTGGATTTACAGTTCCCTCTGACACATATTTATGCAGAGTGTGGCAATTTTAAACATTGGTCATCCTTTTTGTCTGTGTGTATGTGTGTGTGTGTGTGTGGGGTTTAACATACTAGTTAACCCTGGCCAATTATTAAACCTATGTAATCATCAGTTGTGATTTGAAGGAAGCTTGAGATCAGTCTTTTTTATCTTTTCTGGAACCCGGTTATAAGTCAAAGAATCAGCATAAAAGAGAACTGTAGATGGCAAACCACTTAAAATTCCTAAGCACGCTTAGATTTAAACAATAAAAGCATGTGTGTGGGTGAAGGCTTATTATTCCTTTGAAAAGGGTAAGATTTCTCGTTTTTGTAAAATCTAGAGTACTCAGGATCAGCAGATGGCCATCTGCTTTTATTGTTTAAATCAAACTGAGCTGAGGTGGGACCAGCAGTTATCGTAATGGCTATGTGGCTGGACTCCCACATAGTCACCTGCGGTTCGAGTCCCAGACCCGGCGGCTTAAAACTCAAGCCAGCCTTGTGCGTGCGTGCCCAATATCCTGAGAGGAGAACAGAGGAGAAGGGATTGTGGCGTGGCCATCCCCTCTGGGGGGTGACTTCTCGCTTTCTGTCTCTCTGTTTCTTTTGGTCTCTGTGGCGAGCACATGCTCCCTATAGCTGAAACCTCTATGAAAGATAAAATCTAGAGTACTTACTTTTATAAAGGTCCATTTACTTTCCATTATTTTAAGTCTTTTATTACATAATTTTTAAAATGCTTTAAATGTCCTTTAATTCTGGCTTAAGGAATACTGCCATACTTTGTAGTGTTAGAATTTTTCAACTCTGGCTAGTGTTAGTCAAAAGAAACCGGGTTCAATTTCAACTTTGAGGTCTCCAATCTTTAATATTTCTTTTTCTCCCTTTGAAGACTGAATTCATGGTGCCTTTACCAACATCATAGTCATTTAATTTTGGATTCAAACTCTGGGTTCAAATCCTGGCTTTCACTTTCTGCCATTCCGTGCTCATTCCCTTGACATTTAAACTGGGAAAATTAAAAGTATGGTCTTCATCGGACTGAGGTGAACATCAGTGAGCTAGTACGTGTAGAGTACTTAAACAGCGAATGGCAGACTTTCAGCTTCAGTTAATGATAGCCATAGTTGCTATTGGCCAATGGCTTTCTTAGCCCTAGAAATGCCAGACGAAATGATGGGTTTATACACAACAGGTGTTTGGGAAACACCATCTTCTTGGGGTCACCTACACTCCCGTCAATTGTTGGCATTTGGGTATTTATACGCCTAAGAGCTGAGGTAGGTCTCAGCCCCTACTTTTTGGTATGTGTATGTGTGCGTTTATATATCCTCACTCTCCATTTTTCTTTTGTTCCTACCTGTTTCTGAAAGTGTCCTCAGATAGAGGGCAATTATTCATATAATCTCCCTCGCACCTACCACTTGCAAACAACTTCTTACCCAGCTTAATTAATAGCTTATTTTTGGGCAAGTGGTGAGATATAATCATTAAATCTATTTTACTATTATAACATCTCTTGTTGGGCAACAACCAGATAACACTGGTGTAAGTGTCAGCAGACCTTGCTTAGAAATGTATCCAATAAACGGGAACCTCACTTCCTGTAAGGCTAAAAGCTCCTCAGAACAAACTGTCTGAGAGATTTATTAATTGCCTTTGTTTCCAGTTAACTAAAAATAATTGAAGTATTCTTAATGGTTTTTATGTTTTTGTTTTTAGTTCCTTTCTCATTTGCTTTTTCCTTCTATTGTTATGATTAACTGAAAGTTAGGTAAATTTGAAAGGTTTTATTATTCTAAATATTCTCAAAGTAAATTCTTCCTCTGTATTGTTCCTGTAGCACAAAACTAACCCTGATCTGGGAGAATCGAGGGGACTGCATTTCTCTGCACTGTGAAAGCCTTTTTATTTAGTTAGTTTTTGAGTAACAAACTAAATCTACCGGACATCGATTTGATGTGACTTTATTTGATACAAATGAATCTTAGATCACTTAAGGTTTTTGTTTTTGTTTTGTTTTTAAGAAAACCTTTACTTGATGGTCTTGATTTAATTCTATCTTACTTGGTCTAGATAAGGAACATCTCTCCTAGAAGCAGGCCATATAGTGTTCTCGACTCCCTAGAATCTTTTCTATTTTTTTCCCCCAGTCATTTTGGAGGCTAACCATTCCCTTTTCCCTCCCGACATGCTGCTCCTTTCTGTGGAGCTGGTTTTTACTTCTGGCTACCCTACCAGAGAAGTGCTCTCTTGGGGTTCTGCCTCCTGAAGCGGCCCTTTCAGTCTTATTGCAGATGGTCACAACAGAGATTCTAGCAAGCTCCTTAGCATTCCCTTCAACCATCCCTCAGGGATATGCTCCCTCAGTGCTTCATGCATCCTTGTACTTCAGTGGTTGAGTAAGCGACTGATAACCACCTGAGCCACTTGACTAATTAGGATGCGTGTATGTTGCCAGGTAGGAAAGAGTCATTCCAAACAAGAAGCACTTATTAACCTGGTCTTCCTCCAGATCGATACAAGTCTGCCAGAGATTCAGACTGGACTTCCTTTGCTCCCCTTCTATTCCATGTCTCTTCCTTTTCTTTTTCTACACTCAAATGTGTAGAAAAATGTTCATTCCGATGAACTCGCCCAAGTGATCTACCACTTCCTAAGTGGTCAACAAGAGTACATAGACCTGGAATCTGGCCATCTCTAGCATGAAATTGCCATTATTTCTCCTAATGCTCCAGCTGCTCCAGTTTCTCCTGGCCCTTCAGTTCCAGTTGCCGTTGCCCCCTCTGGCTCTTCAGTTCCAGCTGCTGGTACTTCCTCAGGTATTGGTGCTCTGGCTGTTGCTCACTTCCTAGCTTTCCGATTGACATGTTGGGAAATATTGACTGCTACTGTCAGATCTGGATCTGTCACTTCTTTTGATTGTTCTCAGAAATTATCTACACACGGGGGTTAGTCCTCCAGCTTGGGGTCTTCTCTTTGGCTTTTGGTCTCTTATTCTGCAAATCTAATTCTGCCATCTTAGCTTCTTTAATGAGTTTTCTAATGTTTTTGTTCTTAATTGAATTAATTTTGAGCATTTGTGAATTGCTTGGTAGCGTACCAACCACTGACATTTTTCTCTTTGCCAATTTTTACTAATTCATTCCATGTGTTCTAATTGCCTTAAATTCTTTGACTATTAAAAAAAAAAGTAAATACAGCCTTCTTTGATCCTGGGGCCATGGAAGAAGGACTGTAGGGACCATCCAGTCCAGCCTCCCTATTTTGTATTTAGGAAATCAAGGCCAAGAAGTGTAAAATGACCTGCCTAAGTCAAATGTAGAACTCTTGTCTTCTGATATCACATCTAGTGTTTTAATTCTTTGTGGTGAGGATTTAATTATGTAGATACCGCTGTCTCAGTCATAACTACAAAGTTGCAAATGAGTAATGAATAGCCCAGGTACCTAAGTGGTCCTTCTCAAGGGTCAATGGAGTCACCTGATTGTCAGTCAGTTTTTTAGTTCTGTTTTTAAATAAATAATTGGAACACACCTAGTATTCTGAAGAATATGCCCTAGCGGACCAGCAGTGGCATGATGGTTAAAGTGACTGTATCCCATGTGGTTGACCATGCAGTTCGAGTCCTAGACCTGGCAGTTTCAGAAACATGTTGGATACATGGGCATATGTGCCCAAAATCTGAAAAAGAGGGGGAGATGGAGGAAAAGAGATTGCAGCATGACCATTACCCATGGGGGATGCTTTCTCACTTCCTCTCCTGCTCTCTTTGTCTCTCTGGCTAGCGCATCCACCTTCAGGCAAATAAATACATTTAAAATAATAAATAAATAAATAAACCTTGAAAAAGAAGTTCTCATGTTTTAGTATTATACTGAATAACTTGGGATACTTTTAATGAAAGTGCAAGAGACATATGCCTTGCCTAGACCTGCAACCAGAATCCTTCAACTGGGTACTGGATTTGTGATTTCAGTTTTCAGCTAGTTCTCTTATTCTGTCTAGGTAAGAACCACTGCTGCAGAGTCTAGCAGTGTTTCTCAATGTGGGGCACCTATTTAAAAGGAAGATTTCTGGGTCCTGTTTTGAGATGTACTATCCCAGAATTCCTTTAAGCTCTCTAGTGCGACTTATGTCCATTAAAACATGAAAATACACTGGTCTAGAAGGCCATTAAATAAGAAAAGCATACAGCAGAGGTTGACTTTCAAATGTATTTGTTCACGTGCCTTGGTAAGAAATGTTTTACATCACAATTCAGCAAACTTACATGGCTAAAACAAAAGTTTCCTAAATGGACATTTATCTGACCAAGTGCAATGAACTCTATTTTCCATTCTAATATTTTTCTAATTTATTTCGTTTTTCCAAGTACCCCTGTTAAGTCAGTAACACCTGCTAGGATGGCTTGGCTGCATGGTCCAGTTTTACAGTGCTGCTACTGTGTAACAAGTGGTCTGCCCTTGTTCCCTGGACCTGGGAGATTTGGCCACCTCCATGATGATGTCCCTAGTGGCTTGTAAAAATCACAGTGTAAATAATAAAAAACTCAACTCCAACTGAGTGATGTTTCCTTTTTGTTTCTTTTGTTTTGAAAGTTCTTTTGCTCATGGAAGCAATGATCCAAGGGTAATACAGTTTAGGTAATGCTTGGTTCCAGACTTAGGCAATATCATCTGGATCCCTCTCAAATCTGTCTTTTCTAGGATGCCCCTAATGTGGCAGATTTAGCTCTTCCTTCATGAAGGCAGCAGGCTCAAGGCACACAGTACCAAGCCCAGCTGAGAAGAGGGACTCTTGCAGACTGAGCATAAGTATCAATTTGGCTATTTAATCACATTCTATCTCCTGAACCAGTCATTAGGATCTAGACCTAATACTAGAGCTGGGGATGAAGTCAGATTTCAGGCAAACTACATGGCTGAGGAGGGAGGGTGCCTTTTCTACAAAGAATTCGAGATACTGCTTCCTAACAAAGGAGAAGTCAGTGCTGGGCAGCAAATTGCAGGTGTCATCTCTAGACCATCTATTGAGTCATCAGAAAAGTCACTATTCCTTTTGCATAGAAAAATACGTCATGACTTTTCTGGCAACCCAATATATTCATGGTCTTCCTCTTTTTCCTATTTTCATGGTGGTAATGAATCTTTTCTTTTTGCTTTCACACCTCCAGAAACCAATTTCATTGTCCTAAAGTCCCCGATTTAATCTCATGGGAAGTAGCCACTGTCAAAATCAGGCACAGGGCCCTCAAGGGAAATGACAGCTTAAGTAATTAGAAAGAATTGATTAAAATTCAAAGGAAAGAACTGTGTGTGGTGTGTGTGTGTGTGTGTGTGTGTGTGTGTGTGTGTGTATCTTCAATTTCTGTATATTATTACAGCATGCAAAATGAAAATGAATCTTCCCAGCATGAATACACACTGCATATTAGTCCAGTTAAAAATATTATCATACATATTATCAACGGATAATTTTTCATTTTTTTGTCTCTTACATGTTTTGCTTTTCTTTTTCCCCTTGATTCCCTTCCTCTCACCCTAAATGAAGAGAACAGAAAAATACAGTTAAAATAATAACAGCCAGCATTCAGATGTACATGGCAATGGGTGAATGATCTTCTCTGGAGTCCTTTAAATATACTATTGGCCTGTTCAAGAGGCATTTGAGCGCAGTGTCCTAAAAATATCAGGTGACTCAAAGTTATACAAGTTAGATATAAAAATTCAGTCTGACAGATAAAGCTCTGCTGACACTATTGGTTACCTTTCACAATCGCTCTATGTACTGTGTTCTCTTTCTTGAGCCCTTGTTGTGAAGCAAAACTAATACTTTCTACTATAGGCCCAGTGGATAGTAGCTATTCAGTAAAGATAATGTTTATCTGTTAAAATGAAGACCCTCCTCCCCAATATTCTAGCATAGAGAACAAATAACTTCTAAAAAGTAATTATTTCGAGCCTAGCATAGTTCAAAAGATTGTAATATAAATAAGCATGCTTGACATGAAAGATGAAATTTTTTGTTCTTTCAGTAATAGGATCGGGGTCTCTACTATGTCTTTATCACAGATTGCTCCTGGTGCTCTGAAATACACACTTTACGTGGCGCAGTGATGCTGTACTGTGCATTTCACACTCTCATTTAGCCCTGCCTACTGGTTAGATCTCTGAACTTCTACGTACTCTTAGAAAATCCATACTCCAAACATTTTTCTGTAGTCTTTTTTTTCTAGTAAAAGGATACAAAATAAGCATCATAAGGTTTGTATTGTTCTCTTAACTCGGTCTGTAATTTTGCATAAAAGCTTTAAAATCTTTACAAATTTATTCTCTTCTAACAATGTGACCATTAAATTCTAATTTTCTAATTTCCATCTTTTGAAAGCTATAGCATTTTAATTGCTTATGGAAACTAATCAGTCTCCTATCCTTGACAGTGATTTCATCAAGTTCTTATTTTATTATGAAGTTATTCATATATATTATTATATTTTGGTCTGTAGTGTGGCTTGATCTAAGAACCCAGTCTACCGTTGAAAATCTTAGTAAAAGAATTCCAGGAAATAATAACTTTGTCAAGGTAAGCGATCTCTTCAAAAATATACTATAAAAATATTTGTTAAAAAAAGTTTACAGATATCACCAGAGAGACTACTTGAGCCTTACATCCTATGGCAACACTGTTATTTGATATCATTTATAGGCTATTTCCTGCAGATAAATGAGTCTCTATTGGTTTTGCAAGATGTTCCTTGGTCTTCCTGTGATATGATCTTTGGTTCTTTAAACCAAATAAGAATATTGCCATAAGTTATTCCCTTCCATTGTTTTTGAGCACTGAACCCCCTCCCCACCTAACCGCCACCCCCATATGAAAGCCAGAAAATGTTGAGTTAAGGTTCTTAACTTATAGGTGGCATTAAAGTATTAAATCCTTTGGTTTAAGTTTTCTTACAAAACATATTCATGAAATAAAAAGGAAAAAGATATCACTTTCTATAGTTAGGTAATAAATGAGACCAGGGATCAAGGCAGGGGAAAGTTACATTACTTTTGTACATGTATTTTGTTTTTTGTTGTAGGATTTTTGTTCGTTTGTTCTTTAAGGTTTTTGCCATATGGTGCATGTGCTCACCAGTGAGAGGGAAAGTGAGAAATCACCCCTCAGGGGGATGGCTATACCACAATTCCTTCTGTGTTCTTCTCCTGGGATTTTGGGCATACATGCATACACACCTGGCGTGATTTTCAAGCCATCACATCTGGGAATCAAACTGTGGTCAGCCATGTGGGAGTCCATCACCTTAATCATGATACCACCTGCTGGCCCCAGTGCATGTATTTTCTTAACCACTTAATTTTTGTCAGCAATTATAAATAAATTTGATATTTAATATACTAACATAAATAAGAATTGGACCTGACTCATTTAAGAAGATTGATAAGCCTGTATGTGTTTCACTTTTGTCCTTATTTAACTGTAATTTAGTCCACACTTCTTCTCTTCAGTGTATTTGCTGAATTTAGGCAACTGCTTTCTGATATAGAGCAACCAAGAGAGGCTCTAATCAGGCATGTCTTTGAGGTCTACTTTAGTCTTCACTATTTTATATTAAGTTGTTTGGGTGTGTGTATGCATACACACAGATTTTGTTAATAAGTCTGAAGACGTTTTTTGATTTTGGTCACTCAGTTATGATTTGACATACTATGATGTTCAATCATTTAAATATTACTTTCATGGAATATAAAATAACAGAGTTTTGGCTAGGTTCTACATAAAAATAGTAATTTATTACAAGTTAAAATCCACATTGTCACCAATTGTAAGTTGTTGTGTCATTTATCTTTCTCTTCCCTGCTATGTGGATGCTTCGTGAACGACAAATACTGTGATCATTGTTCATGAGCATGTTTTCCTGTGCCATGAGCTAGGAAAAGCATTTTCATTCATAATACTATGGGATTGCCTTTAGGACCATGGCATACTTTGTGATTTGTTGGGTGTTTTTGGTTTGGGGGTTTTGTTTTAAACTGTTTTAAATTGCTGACTGAACTTATTAACTGTTTTAGTCCAAGACAGGCCTTCCACTTAGCACTTACTTCAGTGCAGTGAAACTTCGTTGGCTCCTTGACAATGTGAGAAAAGTTCAAAAGGCTGTTGAAGAAAACAGAGCGCTTTTTGGGACCATTGATTCATGGCTTATTTGGGTATGTTGAGAAATGAAATACATATGGAGAACTTTTTCAAAACATTTTTAGACTGCTTTGCCTACTGTTTTCTGCTAACAGTTCAAACTTGTTAGCTAGCAGCACTATTAAGAGAAACCCTCAAGAAGCAGCCTCCATTTGAGAGTCGTTTTTGCCTACTTCCTCTTTATTTTTTTCTTCCCTTATTTCAATGAAAATGGAAGCTAATTAGCAAAACCATAGTTATTTCTTATCTTTATGATAAGTAAGTTATGTAGCCTTTCTCTCTTGCTTTTCATCCACTTTTTCCTCCACTACGCATTTCTTGAAGAAGTAACTAACATGATAAAGCATTGAGGCTACTTTTACATTTGGTTTCAGTATTACACAACTTTCTCATGTATTATCAAGCCATAATATGGAACTAAATCATAGTGGAAATTTCTGTTATATCTTCTTTTTGCCTAAACTGAACATGGCTATAGAAACTAATATTTCGAGCGGTCCCAAGACATATCGTAAAAGGACATGTCTTGTGATGGTCTTCTCTCTCTCTCTCACTCTCCTTCTATGTTATTTTCATTATGAGTATTTTCCATTGTTCACACAAAGTAGAGGGGATAGAGTAATGCACCTCTCCGAGGGTGATCCAGCTGTAGTGATCATTAACCTATGCCCAATCTCATGTCAACTATACTCACATGCGCCATCTCCCCACAGAACATTTTAAAGCATATCGCAGGTATAAATTTTAGTTTATGAACACTACAGTAAGCATCTGATGATCTTTCTTAACATTCAAGGGAGCTTCAAAGAAATAGTGGCCCTGTCCTCATGTGCCAGGTCCACGGAACAGGTGTTACCAGGAAGAGGCGCCTCCTTTACCCCTCCCTATGCTTGCAGGGCAGGTTTTGCTTTGTACTCTGGCCAGCCATTTTCCTGTATGTTGGTCATAGTTGAAAGAGCGGCTCTGACAATTGTCTCAAACCAGATTAAGGCAAGATATAGGAACCGTGAGCTGGAGGAGACTCGAGGAAGCACATTTCCATGTACCCTACAGGATACTGTTTTTGTACCTTTGTTTCTTTCTTTCCTCTTATTGCTTCCACATAAAATAAAGCAGTGGTGCTGGCTCAGCTGTTGTAGCTCAGTGCTAGCACAGTGTTCTGCAGTGCTGGAAGCCATATGGAAGATGGGGGTTTGGTTCCTGGGTCAACCTGTACACACTGGGCTCTCACATCCTGGCTGGCTGAAAGGCTAGGGTGGCAGGGGAATCCCAATGTAAAACCCTATTGAGGATGTCTCTCTTTCTCTTTCTCAAGAAATAAACAGACTTTTTAAAAAAGGGAAGGCAGCATTGCTTTCAGTTCAGATATAAAGAGCTTAAAATTCTGCCTTCGGGATATCTGCTTGGGTGAGTACAGACACACCCAATATGAACAGTTATTCTTTATTTTTTTATGATGACAATAAAAAGTTTTATTTATTATTATTTTTTTTAAAGTTTGCTATAAGGCCCATATGCTCACCAGAGAGAAAAAAAAGACAGAGAGGGGAAAAGTGAAGGAAGCCACCAGGTCTGGGTCTCAAACCACCATCAGCATGTGGGAGTCCAGTGCCTTAACCACCATGCCACCTACTGGCCCCTGAATAATTATTCTTAAAAAAGAAAAAAAACGGAGATAATAACCAACACAGGGTTCTCTAAGATCCATAACAGACAAACTTTTCATTTTATTTCAGCTTGAAAACTATTAGGTTGTTGAAAAAGTCCCTCCATATTATTTCTATGCAACAATTTGTCATGACTTTTCCAACAACCTGAATTTTCTTTTTTTTTAGAGAATTAAATTTATATGTTTATTTATTTATTTTTATTTATTTTAATTTGACCAGAGAGGTACAGAGCAAGAGAGAGGGGGAAGAGAGAGTGAGAAAGCAAGCCACCAGGTCTAGGACTCAAGCCGCAGTTGGTCATGTGGGAGTCCAATGCCCTTAACCACCATGCCGACTCCTGGCTGGAGACTGAATTTTCTAAAGAGGATGGGGGGAAAATTAGATTTTTTGTTTAATCATCACTGAGTTAGAATTGTGCTGATATGGTAGCCAGCTACCATTATGTGGCTATTGAGCACCTGACATGTGGTCAGTCTAAATTGAGATGTACCATGACTGTAAAATTCACAGCAGATTTTAAAGACTTAGTGCAAGGGGAAGAAAAGGTAAAATGTCTCAATAATCATTTATTGATATTGATTACATTGTTGAAATGGAATTTTTAATATATTGGGTTAAATATACAATATTATTAAATTAATTTCACCAGGGGACCAGCAGTTAGTGTAATGGCTATGTCGCTGGAATCCCATGTATTCAACCGTGGTTCGAGTCTTGGAACCAGTGGCTTAAACTCATGCTGGGCGCATATGTGTGCATGCTCAATATCCCGAGAGGAGAATGGAGGAGAAGGGATTGCGGCATGGCCATCCCCCTGGGAGGTGATTTCTTGCTTTCTATCTCTCTGTCTCTCTTTGTCTTTCTGGCAAGCACATGTGCCCTATAGCAAAAACCTCTCCAAAAAAAAATTGAATTTCACTTGTTTGTACTCTTTTATTGAAGCTTCTAGAAAATTTTAAATTGCAAACATGGCTCACATCTTACTAGACTTCCATTAGACACTGCTGAAAACTAGAAAGCTGAAAAGCTGAAATGTTACATTTTCTTATTGCATGTGCTCTGCTGCTGATTATGGTTGTTAACGATACGTAAATTAAATTGTGAACAAGCACTTTAGTTTTTGCTATAGGGTATATACATTCACTAGAGAAACACAGAAAGAAAGAGAAAGTGAAAAATCACCCCTTGGGGGGAGATGGATGGCCACAACGCAATCCCTTTTCCTCCATTCTCCTTTCTGGATTTTGGGCACACGCAGACATACGCCTAGTATATTTTCCAAGTTGCCACATCTGGAATATGAACCATACACATGACCATGTGGAATCTAGCCACTTTAACCACCACACTACCTGGCTGGCCCAAATAAGCACAAATTTGACCTTGTCCTTTTTATTCTGTCTAGAGTTTGACAGGAGGAGTCAATGGAGGTGTTCACTGTACAGATGTAACAAATGCAAGTAGAACAATGCTTTTCAACATTCATTCTTTGGAATGGGATAAAGAACTCTGCGAGTAAGTTGTGTTTTGCCCAAAGTATTTTTTTTTTCAATATGTTACCTACTTATGACCTCAATCTTACTATTGGGTTTTCAGACACAATGACTCAATATTTTCAGATATCAATGGAGCAAAATATTTTAAAATGTTAAACATTCAAGCATACAACTGTTTTCTGCTAGCTTATGTATTTCTTATTATTTGACTCTATGCTCAAATGCATCCATTTTCTAATTGTTACATTTTTTGCCTTTAAGTACATGTAAATGTTTCTAGATGTGTATGTAAAACAGTATTGTACCCGATATTACTGTTTTTCAGATTTTTTGGAATTCCAATGGAAATTCTTCCAAATGTCCGAAGTTCTTCTGAGATCTATGGCCTAATGGTAAAAATAAATGAATGAATGAATGAATGAATGAATGAATGAAAGAAAGAAAGAGTAACGTTTCTAATTAGAAAAGAAATCTTACTATTCAGAATTTAAAAGTCAATTAATTGTATTATGTTTTATAGTTTGGGTTTTGTGACTTTTCTATGAATGTTATGTGAAATAAGAATTTAGTAGTGTTTAGTTTTCTATAACTTAAAACCTTAGAGTCATTCTTACCAATTGATTTTACATTTGCATATCTTAATTGGCTTTACTTTTTAAAAAAAACAAGTAATGAGATAATTAACTTCTGACACTGGTGTGGGGATATTCGAGGGAGTTTATTTTTTCAATCTAAATAACTGCTTACAATTTGTGATGCCTGCTTTTAACTTAGAGAAAGGACTCTTCATATTTTGGTGGTGTTCTTTTTCCTGTTGAATCTCTTTATTGGCCAAACAGTGTTTTCTTTTATCAGCCTAAGCACAATTTAGCAGAGAAACTGAAAGCAAGAATCTGTTTCTGATTTGGTTTTGCTAATCAAACTGGTTTTCAAAATAGATATTTTCACCATTGCTTTCATTGACTCCCAGAAAAAAAGGATGCTGAGCAAAAAGTGTGCCTAGTCATTGAGAATCAGTGGCTAAACATCCCAAGCGAAAACCTATAGGAGGATTTGAATTTGTCTTTGAGCACAAAAATCTGGAATTTATGATAAAACTTAAAATAAGTCTAAAATAAATGGCAAAAAAGGTTCAGACATTTCATAAAAAAATATTAGTAACTATACTTATAGAGTTAATAATAATGGAGTTGAATACTGAGTGCTCTGGATAAGTTTGAGCAAGAATTTTTAGCTTTTACTTTATAATAAAGCTTCTGAATGTAACATGGGCTTTCTTAAGGGAGTCATAGTCACTGCTTATCTATAGTAAAAGTGCTTCAATAATTTCATGGCTGTCAACAGACTGACTTGGGTCAGGGAAAAGGAAACTATTCCTGAGAAATAATTCCAGAAGATGGATGAAAAAAAAAAAAAACACAAACATTTAACTGGCTTAGTTTTCTCTTGCATTTAAAATATTATGCTTCTGTCCCCCTTTCTCCCCTCGCTGACTATAGAAAATCTCTCATAGCCTGGTGAGTAGGTTGCCCACCAATTATGCTACTCATTCATTTGGAAAAGATACAGTGCATTTCCATTTACCTTTAGTAAAACAGAAGTTTGTTTCCTAAGCAGATGTACCTAGAATTTCCATGAACCTCCAAAGTATGATAAGCTCTAGGTAGATTTCAGTTTACAAAGAATTTAATTTTGATCGCTTTTTAAGTTTTCTATAAAACGGATAACAATAAAAGGCTAAGGTAGTTTCTTACAATGAGAGATTCTGGTGTTCCTCATACAAAGTACAGTTGTGATGTGCTTTGGGCTTTAGCATTAGAGGGAAATTAGATACTGCTTTTGAATGTCCTCAGTGTCTGTTATAAATGATGTCTTGACCAAGCTTTCAGAGCAGTTAGTTGGAAATGCACTGTCACTTTTTCTGCATGCTTCATCAGAGGATGCTCCGGGAATCCTCCAGAGGCCCCTCCTCATGAAGAAAAAGGAGCGCTTTACATGCCTGAACACACATAGTAGATCCTGCTGCTAGTTTGATAACTTCAGAAGTATAAGCGAAGACTTCTTTTAGTATTTAAATATATCAAGATATACAGCCCCTAGGTTTCCTATTGATTCACTTTAAGCCTTTTATGAAATTGAACTTTTCCTTCATATCCACGTTCAGTTTTCAAACACTATATGTATTAAATAAAAATTGCAGATCTTGAACTGTCCAGAAAGTATTAAAGAAAGAAAGAAACAAAAACCAAAAACATCAGCTAGCTAGAGGGCATTTTTAATTTTATTTATTTTTTATTTCATTAAGGATTTCTACATAAATGCTATTATTTCCTTACCATCATAGCCATGCAAGAGGGGCTCTTTTATTACCTCCTCTTTGACAGATAGGGTGCCTCAAGCTCCCAGAGCCCAGGAATCTAGCTCATAAATGGCAAACTGAGGAATCAGTCCAAAGCTTTAGTTTGTTGCTCTTCCTAGTACCTTGCCCGTCTACTTCAGGAATCACATTACTTCATTTCTTTAATTCCTTACTTAATATCAGTGAAAATTGCTTTGTGTTAGTGTATGCCTTGTGAAAATTAAGTTTATAAAGTCCACAGTCAGCCACTTAAATCTCATTTTTTTCCCTCAGATACTGACCGTATTGATAAAAAAAAAATCTCACTATTCATTGATATAAATTAACAATTGCTTGTTAAAATTTAAAGAACAGTTCTATGAACAAATAATATCCAACACCTGATCTTATCTTAAAAGTAGCTGGTAAAATGTAGCCTTCCAAAATAAATATATTCCATGCAGGTCGGATAGCTATTTAAAGGACGTGTTAGTCATTTCTTAATAGCAGCAATAATAGTAAAGTGCTAATGGCCTTCAGCAATCACATAGCCCACTCGCAGTTTGTAGATAAATAAATTGGGGTGTAGAGAGGTTTTAGCAGCCTGCTCATGGCCTAACACTAACTAACCAGGAGTAGAGCCCATGTCTCCTGCCTCTCAGTCCAATATTTGCATATTCATTCTCAATGTCTCGCGTCTCTTCCCGTCATTGTAGGAATACTTCTAGTATCTCTCTCTGTCTCACTCATATAGTTGAAACACTTGCTTTGTCTTGTCTGCCCACATCCTATGGCACATTGCTATTTGTGTTCAGTCCTGTTGCAGTTATCTTAGTAGAACCAAAAGTTTGTGATTATTCATAATCATTTTTTAAAATTTTATTAGAGAGCTGGGGCCTTGGAAGGTGTGCCAATATCTGAGGTAAGTTTTATTATCAAACATCTCCCAGCCACTTCTCCATTCCCACCTCCTTCCCTGTCATGACTTTTCTCCTCTACCTTAGCTGATCAGCCTGCCCTTTCCTAAACTAGGGAAAACAAGTAAGAACAACAAAATTGGTTCATTCTTTTTTTTTTTTTTTTTAATTACCAGAGAGTGTGGATCTCACCAGAGGGAATGACAGGGGAGGGAGAAAGCATCCCCCAAAGGGCCTTGGCCATACTGCAATCACTTCTCTTCCATTTCTTCATCCCATCAGGATTTGGGGAATCCATACACATGAGCCAGGAGTGTTTCTCAAACTGTCGGGGCTACAATCCACTGGAGTCGGCCATGTAGTATCTAGCTCCCTTAACCACTGTGGAAACAGGGCTGGCTAGATTGATTCATTCTTATTCTTATGTTATGAGATGTGGGCCATTAAGAACCTGTGGAATAAATTAATTCTAGTTCTCCCTTCCCACACTTATTATCTTGTAGGTTATTAACAAATGGAAAGATAGCCAAGTAGGGGGAATACAGGAAACATAGATGATTCATTCTTTGATAAATAAAAAAAGGAAAAATAAGTTATATGACTCTTCTGAAAAAGAAATTAATAATATTGTCTTAGTCAGTACTCTTTATTGTCATTTTCAGTGTTTGGGGGACCAGTCTGCCGCATTGGTGGGACAGATGTGCTTCCAGGATGGACAAGCCAAAAACACGTGAGTTTAAGAAACAGATTTAAAAACCAGTGTTGTTATCTTTGTTTGTTTTTCACCCTTAGTGCTTTGAATGAGAAAATGTTTTTGAAATTCATCCAGACTACAAATTGTAGTTTAATAGCCCTAATATTTACCACTTGTTTTTCTTAAACTACTACAAATAAAATTAATTATAGTGTATGCAAACACACTGATGAGGTTGATAAATACCTTACGTTACAAAATTCAATATCTTTTTCAGCCCAGAAATTAAATTTGGTTCAAAACGTTCTTGCCTTTTTTGGGAATATTGATAGCATCTGAAAATTCTTTGTGGATCATGATCACCTGAGATTGTGATCAAGAACACTTAAGTTGGTATGAGTCTGGAAACATAGTCTCTAAATTGGGGTCCTAGGTAGCTGAACCAGGAGTCAAGACAAAAATCATTGAAAATTAGGTTCTTTTCTCCTTTTTTCTTCTAGGAGCACTAATACTAGAAAATCAGATGCTATCTATACAGGTCATTTCCCTAGTACAGTGTGGAGGACACGGTATATACCCAATAAAATAGCTTGTTTTTCCTCCTTTCTTTATTCCTACCTCCCTTTAGCATTAGTAGCTCAGTCTTTGAATGATGGATTGAAGTTAGGAAGTGCTTGTTTGAATTGGAGGAGAGAAATAGCAAATTGTAAGATTTTTTTTTTTTTTTTTTTTTTTTGCGCGGTGGCGAGGGTTTTATTGTAGGGTGCGTGCACTCTCCAAAAAAACAGACAGAGAGACAGAAAGCAAGAAATCATCCTCCCGGGGTGATGGTCACGCCGCAATCCCTTCTCCTCCATTCTCCTCTCGGGATCTTGGGCACGCATGCACACGCGCCCGGCATGAGTTTAAGCCACTGGGTCCAAGACTCGAACCACGGTTGACTACATGGGAGTCCAGCGACATAGCCATTATGCCAACTGCTGGTCCCGCAAACTGTAAGATCTTTTGACTTGGGCTATTTCTGTGGCCTGGTGGTTTTGGCAGCTGGATTCCATGTGGCTGACCATGTGGTTCAAGTCCTGGACCTTGAGAAACACACCAGACAGTTCTGTGTGTGGCCCAAGATCCCAAAATGAAGGTGAGATGGAGGAGAAGGGATTGTGGTAACCATTCCCCATGGTGGGGGGTGCTTTCTTCCCTCTCTCTGTCTGTCTCTGGTGAGTTTATGTGTCCTCTGGCAAAAAACAAACAAGCAAAAATTTTGATATCATATTTCTTTCCTGGAGAGGGAAGAACACAAATATAGAATTAATCAGAAAGAAATCAGAACTAAAGTATTGTAAGAAACTTTGAAGTAATGCTGTCAAGTTCCCCAAGGAAGAAAAATCACAAAAGATTACATTGATAATGAGATGATTTGAAGAATGAGCAAAATGGGAAGGGACAGGAAACTTTGAACAAAGATACAAATAGAGAAATCAAAGACTTTGTTTAGAGAATGTGAAGTAGCAGAAAACAAGGGTAGAATCATGTTATGAAACCCTACATTTTGAGCTGAGAAGTTTGTCTTCATAGGCAGTGGGAACCTTCTGAAAGTATGTGAGCTGTTATTCCAAGGTAACTGGAGTTGCCAGTATAGTATACTATGGCAGCTCTGGGTCAAAGTGAAAAGAGACTAGAAGCAAAGAGGCCATGGAGGAAGCCCCTACAGTGTCCCTACAATTAGTATTCATACCTAGAAGGACGGTGACAGAGAGGGAGGCTATGAGTGGATGTGCATGGCACTGCAGAGGGGCCAGGGGAGGGAATGATATTGGGTCTGGATATCTGGACACAGAAATACTTAACCAAAGTAAGGAACGGGTCTGAGCACGGTTTCTGTTTGGGGCGTGTTTCTGGCCCCAGCAGACTGTGTATAGCACATATTAATAAAAAGTAGATGACATTACCAAGAAAATACACATGGGTAGAAGAAATATTTAGGGGAAAAAGGAAACATCGAGATGAAAAGTCAGAAAAATATAATACAGTTATTCATTAGTGTGGAAATCTGGGATGGAGATATTTCAGAGGGAAGCATGGTCAGCAGTGCAAAGGTCAGTGGAAGCTGAAAAGTGAGAATATACTATTACACATAGAAATTAGAGTTTCATTTGGTGACCTCTAAGAATGAAGTTATAGTTGAATGCATAAGATGGTAGCAAGGTTACAAATGATCGTAAGAGATGTGGACAGGTAGAAAATGGAGACAGCAAGACAAATATGCTTTGGAAAGATGCAACTATCTAAGAATGTGAGAGAAGTAGGTAGTTTGTGAAGTTAACAGGATCATGCATCATTTTGAGAATTTTGTTTTGGTTTTTAAGTTTCAGTGAGACCAGAGAAAGCTTCTTTGGAGTCTGAGCAGAGAACAGGTGGAAGTTGTAAAATAAATGGAAGATAAGTGATGGGCAGAATGAAGTCGTAACGGTTGGAGAGATCAGGAGCGAAGATTTAGTTGTCTCCCATTTTCAGCAGGGAGAAGGTGATAGTCAGCCTAGAATTCAATGGAAAACCTATCTCTGCTTCAGAATGGGGAATAGATTATGAGTGATTCTATTTTTTCCTTTTGGTTTAGCTGTATTGTCCATTTTTTTCTAGAATGAATGTCTATTATTTAAACAGTTTATTTTTCAGAAAGAAAACCCACAGTAGTTGCCTCATCTCCCTAGCGGCACTGACTGGGTATCTAAAGCATCTTTTACCTACATCACAGCAGGCTGCTTGATCCTTATCAAGGAGAGCAAGCAGCTTTGACCTTTGCAAAGGTCAGAAAAGTCAGACATTTTTCCGGGATATTTTAACACAGTCCATCATTGAGGAAGGCCAGGGTAGACCACATAAATGCTCCATATATGCTTGATGGTGAGAGAAAAAGTGCTCTTAAGAGGAAAATAATTGCTTGTGTATTGCTTAGAAAATTGTGACTTAAATGTTGCAAAGAAGTATCTTAATAGAAAATGTGTATTGTGAAGAAACTATGCATATAAATTTCAATATTTTTGGCACCAAAACAAACTCATACTTTAATTCCATTATTCCATGAACTTTTTGAAGTCCCCTCATGCTTATTAATTATTCACGAAGGGGACTAGCAGATGACATAGTGGTTTAAGTGCTGGACTCCCATATGGCCAACCTTGGGTCCTGTCCTGGGTCAGGTGACTTGTTTTCCCCCCTCTCCCTCTGTCTCTCTCTGGTCAAATTTTAGAAATAGTGATAATAATAAATGAAGTTAAATAAACTAATTTTAAAAAATTACTTAGGAAGTATTGTCTTAGTTCATTATTGCATTGCTTACAGAAATACCTGAGACCTGCTGAATTTATAAACAAATAGAGGTTTATTCATCTCACAGTTTAGAGGTCTAGGTTCTGGTGGCCAGCCTCTGGTGAGGGTACCAATATGGTAGAGGGTGAGATCTTGAGCAGAGCAGCCATCCATAGATTTCTGCCCAATCTGGTCTCCTTTTCCCTCTTTACTTATTTTAAATTTTTTTTATTTCCACAGGGTGAGTGTGCTCCCCAAAGAAAGTGAACTTGGGCATAGTCATGGCATAATCCTTTTTCCTCCTTGATCTGCCAGGATTTAGGACATATACACACACCTAAGGTGTCCTTTCCTCTCTTATACATACCAGGCACCATAACCTAATGACCTCATCAAAACCAAAGGCCTCACCCTGGAACACCATGAAGGGATTATGTTTTCCTTTGACACTTTGACAACACATTGAAGTCCAACACATGAATTTCTGGGGGACATACAAACTATAACAAGAATACTAACTTAAGAATTCACATTTATTGGATATGGTGGCGCCTGCCCTATGGCAAGAATTCACATTTATTAAGTGCTTTGAGACCTGTCTTCAACTTTGAACTTTAAGACTTGTACACAGCCGTTCATCATAGAGTGTTTATATGGGTACTACATTGGTAATATTCTTCATTCAGAAAGCACATAACAGATTATTGATGTCCATTTTTTGAATTTTCATTAAAAGAGAATAATTTGATGTATGTATAGCATTTTAGTGTTGCAGCAGTAAAAAGGTATCAAGGGACTTCAAAAAGTTCATAGCAAATGGATGTAAGTAAGATTTTGGGACCAGCAGTTGGCGTAATGGCCGTCGCTGGACTCCCATGTAATGGACTGCAGTTCGAGTCCTGGACCTGGTGGCTTAAACTCACGCCAGGCATGTGTGTGTGTGTGTGTGTGTGTGTGTGTGTGTGTGTGTGTGTGTGTGTGTG